GGGGAGACGGGAGGGGTAGCGGTCCCAAGGCGGAGGCCGAGGGCCATGCGGCGCGTCTCTTTAGCGGCTGGGCGGCGCGCGCCCGTCCGACGAGGGAGGCGGCGGGAGCGGCGCGGGGCGCGGCGAGTGGCCGAGCATCCCCGAGGCGGCGTGCGGGTGCGCGGTCCCGTCCACCGCAGCGGACGCGTGGTGCACAATCAGAAAGCCCGCCAGCTGAGGCAGGATCGCAAAGAGCGCCGCCGGCTGCGCCGCCATCAGCCGCACGAGCCGCCCGCCGACGTCGGCGTGCATCGGGTCGAACTCTCCGCCCCACAGCTGCGCCACAATCGCGTGCGCCTCTGCCCACACGCCGCTCCGCCTCAGCCCAACGCCGCTGCCGCGCCCACCGCCACCTCCGCCGCCGGGAGGGCTCGGCCCGCCTCCGGTGAGGCCGAGGGCGGTGGAGGAGTAGCCCGCGGCGGGTGGCGGAGGGCCGGTAGGACTGGTGGCGCCGGCGACCCACCCGCGGATCGTCGACATCGCCGGTGATCCCAGAGGCCACGCCTCTGACGACTCGGCCTCACCGCTCGCGCCTCGCCTCCGGCGCGCCAGCGGAGCGAGCATCGGACGGGAGGCTGAGAGCGGCAGCGGCCCCTCATCGTCTGCGTCGGCAGGCTGGAGCGGCGGAGTGGGAGCGATCATGTCGCGGCCGCCGGAGGCTCGAAACCTGTGGCGCTGTGGCGCGGGGCGAGTTCCGTCGCGGGTCGAGCGGAGAAGAATTCGCTGTCCCTCCTGCTTGCGAGCTGATGCTTCACTCATGCTTCGGTGTGAATCACGCCCGCTGTGAACGGAGTTGCTCTTTGAGACCAAGTGCGCTAAATAGAGCATAAAAATACCTTTCAGACGGTACCTTTATGTCCTCCAGAGTCGAAGAACTCGACCGGTGCGCGGTGGCTGGCCGCCAAAGTGGCTGGACGGCGCCGCGGCGCACACTGGTGAGCCGCGGAGCACACTGAGGGAGCTGTCCTCGGCGCAGCCGATCGGCTCCCGCGGCCTGGGTGGTGGCAGTGGCACTCTCTGAGGCTCCCTGATTTTTTCTGGTATTTGTTGAGCACTCTCTGGTCACCTTCGCCGGGCGAGCCTGGCTCTCGCTGCGCAGCGGCGCGACCCGCGGTGAGGCTACCGATCTTCGAACTGGGCTTAGTACTCAGTCAAGATATTGTGCATATGGTCGGTCTCTACAATATCTTGACTGAGCACCACCGATGAATCGGCAGCAGGGAGACAGGAAGGCTCGCTGTGTGAGTCGGCCACGCAGAGGGTCGGAACCTGCGTCGCAAGAGGATAAATAAATAAATAGACCAGTCAACCCCTGGTGGGAGTAGGGCAGCAACCCGACGGGCAGACCCGCCCGCTCGGAGGGCGTGCACCACACAGCACACAGACTTATCTAGGCACTGCACGGCTCCTCGGGATTTCTGGGGAGCTGGGACGTGTGTGTGAGAGAGATTTTTAGCAATACCAAACAACTCTAACACTCACACGTAATTTGGGGCCTGGTTTTGTCGTGTGTGTGCGTGCGAGCGTGCGACGTGATCCGAGGACTTCCCGAAGTTTTTGCGCAGCGGCGCCGCCAGGCGACCGCCAAAAAAAAAAAAATTTGCCGCACTACCTGAGGTATTGAGAAGAAAATACGGTACAACCCCGGGCCCGAAATCGTATAGACAGTCACCAACACGGGGTCCACAGCGGAGTCCGCTCGGAACTCTCCAAGGCGCAGAAAAACAAACACCAGCGCCCCGTGTCATGATAGCTCCGTCGGCCAAGCAAGCGTCTGACCCCCACCGCCCTGCACTGCTTGCCAGCCGCTGATGAAAAAGGTTCAGAAGGCGGTCGGGTTCAAAACGCCTTCGGGGCCTATGCGCTTCACCGACGAGGACAAGATGGAGGCGCACGGACCACCATTTCCCAAGAAGTCTGCCGAGGCGACGCTGGCACGGCTGCGCAAATTGCCCGGCAACAAGCTGTGCGGCACGTGCCGCACGCCCTCGACGAACCGCGGCGGTTTCGCCGACGTCGTGTTGACGTATCGCATTTTTGTTTGCCGAGACTGCCGGGAGTCGCACGGTGTCGCGGGGCACGAGGTCAGGACCGCCGAGCGACTTGCCAAACTGGACGTCCGGGCCAGCCTGACGCCGTACGAGGTGGAGGCGCTAGCGCGGGGCGGCAACGAGGTCAACGTCGCCACCACCTTTGCGTTGCTACCCGCCACGTCGTTCGAGTGGCCGACCAAAAGGACTGCGTCGTCGGTCGCAGAACGCACACCGCAACACTTTCTCTCTCGGCTGCCTCTGGCTCAGATCTTCGCGCCCCCATAGGAGCGCGACCAGTTTGTCCGGGCAGCCTATGGGGAGAAGAAATGGGCCTCTCGCGAGGACACGCCGGAGGAAGCGCCGCCGGAGCCGGCGCCCGCGCCCGCGCCTACACCGGCCGCTCGGTACGACTCGCGCGGGGCAGCCATGCGCCTCCCCGGTGCCCCCGGGTACGTGCCGCCGCCTCCGGCGGCGGCGTCGGCGGCGCCCGCCGTCGCTGTCGCCGCCACTGTCAGCCTGCTTGATGCTGCGGGGGCTCCGGAATCACCTCCTCCTCCCTCAGCCGAGTCCGAGCTGGTCGACCTGTTCGCCGCGCCCGCCGGGCCAGCCGCCGCGTCGGTTGCTGGCAGCGAGATGTCCGCCGCCGATTCCTTTGGAGCTGTGGGCAGTGCTGGCGCGATCGACTCGCCCTGGGTGCCGTCCGACGCGGAGCTCTCCTCGCCATTCGCAGCGGGTTTGCCGATGCCGGAGGCGGAGGCGGAGGCGGCACACCTGGGCTTCCGCAACCTCGCCTTGACCTCGGACGGCGGTGACTCCGGCGCGGGCATGAATGCGGAGCCCACTTACGCCTCCGTGCGCTCCCCCCCCCCCCCCCCGGGGGGGGGGGGGGGGAAATTGGGTCCCCCATTCACGGGAGGATGCGGCGGACGAGTAGGCCCCGATAGCGGCAATGACGTTTGCTGACGCGCTCCTCCAGAGCGCAATGAATGGGACGGTGGCCGCGCCCGCCAATGCGCCCGCCGCAGCAGTCGACTCTGACGCGGCGCCTCCGCCGCCCGCCGCCATGGGCACGGGGTGAAGCGCTCGCACAGACGTTGGCGCCGCAAGCGCCACCAACAGATTTCCCGCTCACGCACGTGTGCCTTGTGCGTGTATAGGAGCGGCCTCGGCATAGGCTGGAGCGCCCCGCGCCCTCTCGTGTCGCCGCCGAAGCCGTTGGCGTCGCCATTCTACCCGCAAAACGCCGGCCGCCCGTCCATGCCAGTGCCGCAAGCCGGCATCGCTGGGGTAGGAGGGTTCGCGGTGAGCGGAGGGGGCGTGCCGCCTCGCTACGTGCGCGGTATCGACAACAACACCGCGGCCGACCCAGCTTTGCTGCAGCCTCAACGCATGGCGACTAAAGGCGCGCCGTCGTGGCATTACCCACCGCCCGGCCGGCCTGACTCGCTTCTCCGACATTCTTGAACGTTTAGTATGCGCCGGCAGGCGACATCATGTCTATGTACGCGCAGAGCGCTCCGCCGCCAGCCCCAGCCCACGCGCTGCTCGGCGTGATACCGGCGGCCTCGTGCGGGATGCGGGTCGGGCCAAGCGGTTGAGCGGGGCTTAGTGGGAGAAGCTACTCCTTTGCAGTCGTTTCGCCCGACCATGTGCCGTTGGGGGTAGGTCCCGCATGCGCCGCTCCTTGGACCGCGATGGCAGGCGGCGGCGGCGGCGCTGGAGGTGGCAGCGGTGGCGACGCGCCCGCTCTGCCCCTCCTCCTGCCAACGAAGGTGCAACACCAGTAGTACCCGAAGACTTAGTCGACACCGCTCAGTGTCTCGAGCTCAGTGTCTGCCCTATGCCAGGCGCCGAGCAAGGCGGACATCATGGCAAAATTTGGGTAGAGGCTTTGCGCCGCGCATGAGGCTTTGCACCACGTGACCTACCGAGTTGAGACGCGTTGGATATGGTACCGTGGGAATTCGGCGGGCGGCGTGGCCGCGCTCGCCGCCTTTTCCACTGATCTCCCCGAACTGAGGCGCGAGATGATTTCTAATCCCGGAGATGGTCTACCTGTGTTAGTGCCAGTGCGCGCCAGTCCCGTGCCTAGTGTCGTGCGAGGGAGTTTTTTGTTGTAAAATTCTAATCCCGGACTTCAATTCATTTTATCCGCTTTGGGGTCAGGCGTGGGGGCACAGCCAGATTACCTCCCTGTCGTGCTTCATCGCAACCCCCCTCAAGAAAGTTTGAGAACACCCCGCAAAAAGTTGGAAGCCACGTAAGCCAGCGCCCTTGCCCCATCGCGCAGGCACGAGGCAGCTCTGCCACCCACCCTTCCACGGGCAGCTGAGAGAGAAACATGGAAGGGGGGCGCCGGCTGTATGTTACAAGGCTCGCTCCAAGACCTTAAAGCGCGGCACACCGACACACATCTACCCATGCATGCATGCCAGCCTAACCGGCAGGGTTGGCGAACAAGCCGCTAACTGCCGGGCGCCGGCCACAAACACCTTCCCAAACCAAACGGTCCCTGTTCGCGCTCGCTTGCGGTAGTCTCGTGATGGCGGGGAAGCAACACAGTCCCTACGCGCACGCGGTCGCGGTCGCCATGGACAGGGAGCGCACTAGTGTCGCGCTCGCACCCTCGTCGGCTCGCCACAGGCTCACCGTGCTCTTCAGCGGTCGAGTCAGACTCTGTCGGCCCCTATGCCGCTCGGGCCGCCCGTGCCCTTGTACGGGTCGCCCAGGTCGGTAGCAACGAAGATGGGCTTGCCGAGCTTCTCGCGCCGGTAGAGCACGCAAATGAAGGCGAAGGTGACAGTGAAGAGGACTGCCACGACGGCGATGATCGCAATGGCCCAAACCGGAAGCTTCTCCGTCTCCTCAATCTCGACTACCGTCACCGTCTCCTTCTCGGGCACTTCGCAGTAGAAGAAGGTGTTGGCGAGGCGGTCCTGCTCGGCGAGGTACGACCAGTCCTTGAGCCACAGGTTGCCGGCGCCAAAGGCACCCTTGTACGAGACGGGCGCGAAGAAGGACGACGGCGAGTCGTCGACGCCCGTCCAGCCAGAGCCGCCGCAGGTGGGGCGCGGGTCGAGCAGCCCGGAGCCGCCGCAGCCGTCCTCGTAGAAGCAGCCGTAGATGCCCGGGTCGGCGTACACTGCCTGCCACCCCTCGTCGGGGCAGCCCTTGTCGAAGGCGAAGGGCGGGTTGGCGCCGGCCACGACGTTGTTCTTGGAGAAGAAGAGGTAGCCCGAGTCTGGGGTGCCGACCTGGCCGATCGAGACGGACGGCGCGGGGAGGTCCTGGATGCGCGTCTCCGAGCCGCAGTCGCGGACCTCGACGCCCGTGTGCTGCCCGCCCGCGTTGGCCAGAATGACGTTCCCGAACTTGCCGCCCGTGCCCTCGCGGAGGCGCATGATGGCGTTCGAGTCTCGTGCGGAGCGGGTGCCGCCGCCGATGATGGTCATCGAGTAGAAGGCGGGGTGCGAGCGGGGCTGCGAGTCGAGGTTGCCGCCCGTCTTCGAGTCGATCTCGGTGCCGTGGTTGCCGTCGACGCCGACCATGGCGAAGAGGAACTGGCCGCTGCCCTGGTACCCCTCGTCGACGTCGAACGCGTCGTCGCCCACAAACAGCGCCGAGAGCCACTTGACGTTGACGGTGCCGCCGAAGAACTCGAAGCCGTCGTCGAGGTTGAGGGCGACCTCGCAGTGCTCGACGGTCGTGCCCGAGCCGACGCCGCCAAAGGTGATGCCGTTGATCTCATTGTCGGCGCCGATGATGGCGCCGCCGTGCCACACGCGCACGTACTTGAGCGAGCCCGAGCTGTCGCCCGGGTCGGACCCGCCGTACGGCTTGCCCGAGATGCCCTCGATGAAGTTGGAGGCGTAGCTGCCGGCGGAGGTGGGCGCGCGGCCGAGCAGGACGAGGCCGCCCCACTTGCCGCGCTCGCCGAGGTTGGTGAGGCCGGGGTTGGCGGTGTCTGTCTGGGCCTGCTCCGAGGAGGCAAGCGCCGCCTCCGAGAGGACGGTGGTCATGGTGATCGGCCGGACCGCCGTGCCCTCGGCAATCAGCCTGCCGCCCTGCTCGACGACGATGGCCGGGGCGACATCGCCTGTGGGGGAGCGCGAGGAGGCGGGAGGAGGTCAGCTCCATCGAGCGGCCAATCCAACGGGGCGGGGGGGGAGGGGAGGGGTGTGTTGGCCCACCTGGAGCCTGGCCGGTCGGCATCGCGTAGATCGTGGTGCCGGGCGGGATGGTGAGCGAGGCCGAGATGAAGAGCTGCGACGTGAGGAGGTACGACGTGTCGGCCGAGAGGGTGGTCGCGCTGTCGACGTCGCCGCCGAGGCGCGCGATGGTCTGCCCGTCAGCTTGCAGCTGCGCGAAGGGGGAGGGGGCGATGCCGGCGCAGGTGGAGCCGGCCATCTTGCCAGCGCAGGCGAGCCACGAGTACTCGCTCAGCCAGTTGTCCGACGGGCTCGCGAAGGCGCCCTTGCACGCGACGCCCTCGTAGAAGGGGTCGGTGGACGAGTCGATTGCCCCACTGCACATCTCCGAGCCTGCCGTGGGCAGCGGGCTGAAGGAGCTGCCGAGGCAGGTGTAGTCGAGGCAGGCGGCCGAGACGCCCGCGAAGCCCGGGTCGGCGAGGCGGGCGGCGAAGCCGGCGCTCGAGCAGGTCTTCGCGCCCGAGCCGTAGCTGAAGGGCGTGCTGGCGCCGTAGATGACGTTGTTTGGCGAGAAGAAGAGGAAGTCGGGGAACTGCTCGGGCAGCAGCGTGATGCCGCGGCTCTCGCTGCCGCAGTCGTCGTTCCTGACGCCGATGCCCGATCCGTACGCGAGGACGACGTTGCCGAAGCTGCCGCCCGTGCCCTCGCGGAGGCGCATGAGGCCGTCCGCGTTGGCGCCCGAGGCGGCCGATCCGCCGCCGAGGATGGTCATCGAGTAGAAGGCGGGGTGCGAGCGGGGCTGCGAGTTGAGGTTGCCGCCCGTCTTGGAGTCCATCTCGGTGCCGTGGTTGCCGTCCTCGCCGGTCATGGCGAAGAGGAACTGGCCCTTGCCCTGGTACCCCTCGTCCGAGTCGAAGGCGTCATCGCCCACGAAGAGGACCGAGAGCCACTTGACGTTGACGGTGCCGCCGAAGAACTCGAAGCCGTCATCGAGGTTGAAGGCGACCTCACAGTGCTCGACGGTCGTGCCCGAGCCGACGCCGCCAAAGGTGATGCCGTTGATCTCATTGTCGGCGCCGATGGCGGCGCCGCCGTGCCACACGCGCACGTACTTGAGCGAGCCCGAGCTGTCGGCCGGGTCGGACCCGCCGTACGGCCTGCCCGAGATGCCCTCGATGAAGTTGGAGGCGTAGCTGCCGGCAGAGGTGGGCGCGCGGCCGAGCAGGATGAGGCCGCCCCACTTGCCGCGGGTCTCCAGCACGGTGCCCACCACGCTGGCGCCGGTGTCCGTCACGACCGTCGAGTCGTCCGTCTCCTCCGGGTTGAAGGCGGTGAAGGTGATCGGGTCGGCCGCCGTGCCCTCGGCCATCAGCCTGCCGCCCTGCTCGACGACGAGCGCGGGCGCCTCGGAGGCGGGGCTGCCGACCGGCATGGCGTAGATCGTGGTGCCCCGCTCGATGGTGAGCGTGACGCCGTCCAGGACGAAGACCTGGCACGACATGATGTACGTCGTCGACGCGACGAGGGACGTGTCCGAGCTGAGGTCGCCGCAGAGGTACTCGAATTTGTGAGTATGGTCGGTTGAGCGCTTCGGCAGAGTAGGAAGGGGTGGAGGCGACGGTGGCGGCGCCGGCGGTGGTGGCGAGCACGAGACATCGCCTGTCTCGAGGCGGTCCTGCTCGGCGAGGTACGACCAGTCCTTAAGCCACAGATTGCCGGCGCCAAAGGCACCCTTGTACGAGACGGGCGCGAAGAAGGACGACGGCGGGTCGTCGACGCCCGTCCAGCCAGAGCCGCCGCAGGTGGGGCGCGGGTCGAGACGGCCGGAGCCAGCGCAGTTGTCCTCGTAGAAGCAGCCGTAGATGCCCGGGTCGGCGTACACTGCCTGCCACCCCTCGTCGGGGCAGCCCTTGTCGAAGGAGAAGGGCGGGTTGGCGCCGGCCACGACGTTGTTCTTGGAGAAGAAGAGGTAGCCCGAGTCTGGGGTGCCGACCTGGCCGATCGAGACGGACGGCGCGGGGAGGTCCTGGGTGCGCGTCTCCGAGCCGCAGTCGCGGACCTCGACGCCCGTGTGCTGCCCGCCCGCGTTGGCCAGAATGATGTTCCCGAACTTGCCGCCCGTGCCCTCGCGGAGGCGCATGATGGCGTTCGAGTCTCGTGCGGAGCGGGTGCCGCCGCCGATGATGGTCATCGAGTAGAAGGCGGGGTGCGAGCGGGGCTGCGAGTCGAGGTTGCCGCCCGTCTTCGAGTCGATCTCGGTGCCGTGGTTGCCGTCGACGCCGACCATGGCGAAGAGGAACTGGCCGCTGCCCTGGTAGCCCTCGTCGACGTCGAACGCGTCGTCGCCCACAAACAGGGCCGAGAGCCACTTGACGTTGACGGTGCCGCCGAAGAACTCGAAGCCGTCGTCCAGGTTGAGGGCGACCTCGCAGTGCTCGACGGTCGTGCCCGAGCCGACGCCGCCAAAGGTGATGCCGTTGATCTCGTTGTCGGCGCCGATGATGGCGCCGCCGTGCCACACGCGCACGTACTTGAGCGAGCCCGAGCTGTCGCCCGGGTCGGACCCGCCGTACGGCCTGCCCGAGATGCCCTCGATGAAGTTGGAGGCGTAGCTGCCGGCGGAGGTGGGCGCGCGGCCGAGCAGGACGAGGCCGCCCCACTTGCCGCGCTCGCCGAGGTTGGTGAGGCCGGGGTTGGCGGTGTCTGTCTGGGCCTGCTCCGAGGAGGCAAGCGCCGCCTCCGAGAGGATGGTGGTCATGGTGATCGGCCGGACCGCCGTGCCCTCGGCAATCAGCCTGCCGCCCTGCTCGACGACGATGGCCGGGGCGACATCGCCTGTGGGGGAGCGCGAGGAGGCGGGAGGAGGTCAGCTCCATCGAGCGGCCAATCCAACGGGGCGGGGGGGGAGGGGAGGGGCGTGTCGGCCCACCTGGAGCCTGGCCGGTCGGCATCGCGTAGATCGTGGTGCCGGGCGGGATGGTGAGCGAGGCCGAGATGAAGAGCTGCGACGTGAGGAGGTACGACGTGTCGGCCGAGAGGGTGGTCGCGCTGTCGACGTCGCCGCCGAGGCGCGCGATGGTCTGCCCGTCAGCTTGCAGCTGCGCGAAGGGGGAGGGGGCGATGCCGGCGCAGGTGGAGCCGGCCATCTTGCCAGCGCAGGCGAGCCACGAGTACTCGCTCAGCCAGTTGTCCGACGGGCTCGCGAAGGCGCCCTTGCACGCGACGCCCTCGTAGAAGGGGTCGGTGGACGAGTCGATTGCCCCACTGCACATCTCCGAGCCTGCCGTGGGCAGAGGGCTGAAGGAGCTGCCGAGGCAGGTGTAGTCGAGGCAGGCGGCCGAGACGCCCGCGAAGCCCGGGTCGGCGAGACGGGCGGCGAAGCCGGCGCTCGAGCAGGTCTTCGCGCCCGAGCCGTAGCTGAAGGGCGTGCTGGCGCCGTAGATGACGTTGTTTGGCGAGAAGAAGAGGAAGTCGGGGAACTGCTCGGGCAGCAGCGTGATGCCGCGGCTCTCGCTGCCGCAGTCGTCGTTCCTGACGCCGATGCCCGATCCGTACGCGAGGACGACGTTGCCGAAGCTGCCGCCCGTGCCCTCGCGGAGGCGCATGAGGCCGTCCGCGTTGGCGCCCGAGGCGGCCGATCCGCCGCCGAGGATGGTCATCGAGTAGAAGGCGGGGTGCGAGCGGGGCTGCGAGTTGAGGTTGCCGCCCGTCTTGGAGTCCATCTCGGTGCCGTGGTTGCCGTCCTCGCCGGTCATGGCGAAGAGGAACTGGCCCTTGCCCTGGTACCCCTCGTCCGAGTCGAAGGCGTCATCGCCCACGAAGAGGACCGAGAGCCACTTGACGTTGACGGTGCCGCCGAAGAACTCGAAGCCGTCGTCCAGGTTGAAGGCGACCTCGCAGTGCTCGACGGTCGTGCCCGAGCCGACGCCGCCAAAGGTGATGCCGTTGATCTCATTGTCGGCGCCGATGGCGGCGCCGCCGTGCCACACGCGCACGTACTTGAGCGAGCCCGAGCTGTCGGCCGGGTCGGACCCGCCGTACGGCCTGCCCGAGATGCCCTCGATGAAGTTGGAGGCGTAGCTGCCGGCAGAGGTGGGCGCGCGGCCGAGCAGGATGAGGCCGCCCCACTTGCCGCGGGTCTCCAGCACGGTGTCCACCACGCTGGCGCCGGTGTCCGTCACGACCGTCGAGTCGTCCGTCTCCTCCGGGTTGAAGGCGGTGAAGGTGATCGGGTCGGCCGCCGTGCCCTCGGCCATCAGCCTGCCGCCCTGCTCGACGACGAGCGCGGGCGCCTCGGAGGCGGGGCTGCCGACCGGCATGGCGTAGATCGTGGTGCCCCGCTCGATGGTGAGCGTGACGCCGTCCAGGACGAAGACCTGGCACGACATGATGTACGTCGTCGACGCGACGAGGGACGTGTCCGAGCTGAGGTCGCCGCAGAGGTACTCGAAGCGGCCCGATGTGACGACTGGAGTTGGCTCAGGGCTTCCGTCACAATTCATTGCGCTCGTCGCGAGGCGGTCCTGCTCGGCGAGGTACGACCAGTCCTCGAGCCACAGGTTGCCGGCGCCAAAGGCACCCTTGTACGAGACGGGCGCGAAGAAGGACGGCGGCGGGTCGTCGACGCCCGTCCAGCCAGAGCCGCCGCAGGTGGGGCGCGGGTCGAGACGGCCGGAGCCGCCGCCGCCGCAGCCGTCCTCGTAGAAGCAGCCGTAGATGCCCGGGTCGGCGTACACTGCCTGCCACCCCTCGTCGGGGCAGCCCCTGTCGAAGGAGAAGGGCGGGTTGGCGCCGGCCACGACGTTGTTCTTGGAGAAGAAGAGGTAGCCCGAGTCTGGGGTGCCGACCTGGCCGATCGAGACGGACGGCGCGGGGAGGTCCTGGGTGCGCGTCTCCGAGCCGCAGTCGCGGACCTCGACGCCCGTGTGCTGCCCGCCCGCGTTGGCCAGAATGACGTTCCCGAACTTGCCGCCCGTGCCCTCGCGGAGGCGCATGATGGCGTTCGAGTCTCGTGCGGAGCGGGTGCCGCCGCCGATGATGGTCATCGAGTAGAAGGCGGGGTGCGAGCGGGGCTGCGAGTTGAGGTTGCCGCCCGTCTTCGAGTCGATCTCGGTGCCGTGGTTGCCGTCGACGCCGACCATGGCGAAGAGGAACTGGCCGCTGCCCTGGTAGCCCTCGTCGACGTCGAACGCGTCGTCGCCCACAAACAGCGCTGAGAGCCACTTGACGTTGACGGTGCCGCCGAAGAACTCGAAGCCGTCGTCCAGGTTGAGGGCGACCTCGCAGTGCTCGACGGTCGTGCCCGAGCCGACGCCGCCAAAGGTGATGCCGTTGATCTCATTGTCGGCGCCGATGATGGCGCCGCCGTGCCACACGCGCACGTACTTGAGCGAGCCCGAGCTGTCGCCCGGGTCGGACCCGCCGTACGGCTTGCCCGAGATGCCCTCGATGAAGTTGGAGGCGTAGCTGCCGGCGGAGGTGGGCGCGCGGCCGAGCAGGACGAGGCCGCCCCACTTGCCGCGCTCGCCGAGGTTGGTGAGGCCGGGGTTGGCGGTGTCTGTCTGGGCCTGCTCCGAGGAGGCAAGCGCCGCCTCCGAGAGGACGGTGGTCATGGTGATCGGCCGGACCGCCGTGCCCTCGGCAATCAGCCTGCCGCCCTGCTCGACGACGATGGCCGGGGCGACATCGCCTGTGGGGGAGCGCGAGGAGGCGGGAGGAGGTCAGCTCCATCGAGCGGCCAATCCAACGGGGCGGGGGGGGGAGGGGAGGGGCGTGTTGGCCCACCTGGAGCCTGGCCGGTCGGCATCGCGTAGATCGTGGTGCCGGGCGGGATGGTGAGCGAGGCCGAGATGAAGAGCTGCGACGTGAGGAGGTACGACGTGTCGGCCGAGAGGGTGGTCGCGCTGTCGACGTCGCCGCCGAGGCGCGCGATGGTCTGCCCGTCAGCTTGCAGCTGCGCGAAGGGGGAGGGGGCGATGCCGGCGCAGGTGGAGCCGGCCATCTTGCCAGCGCAGGCGAGCCACGAGTACTCGCTCAGCCAGTTGTCCGACGGGCTCGCGAAGGCGCCCTTGCACGCGACGCCCTCGTAGAAGGGGTCGGTGGACGAGTCGATTGCCCCACTGCACATCTCCGAGCCTGCCGTGGGCAGAGGGCTGAAGGAGCTGCCGAGGCAGGTGTAGTCGAGGCAGGTGGCCGAGACGCCCGCGAAGCCCGGGTCGGCGAGGCGGGCGGCGAAGCTGGCGCTCGAGCAGGTCTTCGCGCCCGAGCCGTAGCTGAAGGGCGTGCTGGCGCCGTAGATGACGTTGTTTGGCGAGAAGAAGAGGAAGTCGGGGAACTGCTCGGGCAGCAGCGTGATGCCGCGGCTCTCGCTGCCGCAGTCGTCGTTCCTGACGCCGATGCCCGATCCGTACGCGAGGACGACGTTGCCGAAGCTGCCGCCCGTGCCCTCGCGGAGGCGCATGAGGCCGTCCGCGTTGGCGCCCGAGGCGGCCGATCCGCCGCCGAGGATGGTCATCGAGTAGAAGGCGGGGTGCGAGCGGGGCTGCGAGTTGAGGTTGCCGCCCGTCTTGGAGTCCATCTCGGTGCCGTGGTTGCCGTCCTCGCCGGTCATGGCGAAGAGGAACTGGCCCTTGCCCTGGTACCCCTCGTCCGAGTCGAAGGCGTCATCGCCCACGAAGAGGACCGAGAGCCACTTGACGTTGACGGTGCCGCCGAAGAACTCGAAGCCGTCGTCGAGGTTGAAGGCGACCTCGCAGTGCTCGACGGTCGTGCCCGAGCCGACGCCGCCAAAGGTGATGCCGTTGATCTCATTGTCGGCGCCGATGGCGGCGCCGCCGTGCCACACGCGCACGTACTTGAGCGAGCCCGAGCTGTCGGCCGGGTCGGACCCGCCGTACGGCCTGCCCGAGATGCCCTCGATGAAGTTGGAGGCGTAGCTGCCGGCGGAGGTGGGCGCGCGGCCGAGCAGGATGAGGCCGCCCCACTTGCCGCGGGTCTCCAGCACGGTGTCCACCACGCTGGCGCCGGTGTCCGTCACGACCGTCGAGTCGTCCGTCTCCTCCGGGTTGAAGGCGGTGAAGGTGATCGGGTCGGCCGCCGTGCCCTCGGCCATCAGCCTGCCGCCCTGCTCGACGACGATGGCCGGGGCGACATCGCCTGTGGGGGAGCGCGAGGAGGCGGGAGGAGGTCAGCTCCATCGAGCGGCCAATCCAACGGGGCGGGGGGGGGAGGGGGGGGCGTGTCGGCCCACCTGGAGCCTGGCCGGTCGGCATCGCGTAGATCGTGGTGCCGGGCGGGATGGTGAGCGAGGCCGAGATGAAGAGCTGCGACGTGAGGAGGTACGACGTGTCGGCCGAGAGGGTGGTCGCGCTGTCGACGTCGCCGCCGAGGCGCGCGATGGTCTGCCCGTCAGCTTGCAGCTGCGCGAAGGGGGAGGGGGCGATGCCGGCGCAGGTGGAGCCGGCCATCTTGCCAGCGCAGGCGAGCCACGAGTACTCGCTCAGCCAGTTGTCCGACGGGCTCGCGAAGGCGCCCTTGCACGCGACGCCCTCGTAGAAGGGGTCGGTGGACGAGTCGATTGCCCCACTGCACATCTCCGAGCCTGCCGTGGGCAGAGGGCTGAAGGAGCTGCCGAGGCAGGTGTAGTCGAGGCAGGCGGCCGAGACGCCCGCGAAGCCCGGGTCGGCGAGGCGGGCGGCGAAGCCGGCGCTCGAGCAGGTCTTCGCGCCCGAGCCGTAGCTGAAGGGCGTGCTGGCGCCGTAGATGACGTTGTTTGGGGAGAAGAAGAGGAAGTCGGGGAACTGCTCGGGCAGCAGCGTGATGCCGCGGCTCTCGCTGCCGCAGTCGTCGTTCCTGACGCCGATGCCCGATCCGTACGCGAGGACGACGTTGCCGAAGCTGCCGCCCGTGCCCTCGCGGAGGCGCATGAGGCCGTCCGCGTTGGCGCCCGAGGCGGCCGATCCGCCGCCGAGGATGGTCATCGAGTAGAAGGCGGGGTGCGAGCGGGGCTGCGAGTTGAGGTTGCCGCCCGTCTTGGAGTCCATCTCGGTGCCGTGGTTGCCGTCCTCGCCGGTCATGGCGAAGAGGAACTGGCCCTTGCCCTGGTACCCCTCGTCCGAGTCGAAGGCGTCATCGCCCACGAAGAGGACCGAGAGCCACTTGACGTTGACGGTGCCGCCGAAGAACTCGAAGCCGTCGTCCAGGTTGAAGGCGACCTCACAGTGCTCGACGGTCGTGCCCGAGCCGACGCCGCCAAAGGTGATGCCGTTGATCTCATTGTCGGCGCCGATGGCGGCGCCGCCGTGCCACACGCGCACGTACTTGAGCGAGCCCGAGCTGTCGGCCGGGTCGGACCCGCCGTACGGCCTGCCCGAGATGCCCTCGATGAAGTTGGAGGCGTAGCTGCCGGCAGAGGTGGGCGCGCGGCCGAGCAGGATGAGGCCGCCCCACTTGCCGCGGGTCTCCAGCACGGTGTCCACCACGCTGGCGCCGGTGTCCGTCACGACCGTCGAGTCGTCCGTCTCCTCCGGGTTGAAGGCGGTGAAGGTGATCGGGTCGGCCGCCGTGCCCTCGGCCATCAGCCTGCCGCCCTGCTCGACGACGAGCGCGGGCGCCTCGGAGGCGGGGCTGCCGACCGGCATGGCGTAGATCGTGGTGCCCCGCTCGATGGTGAGCGTGACGCCGTCCAGGACGAAGACCTGGCACGACATGATGTACGTCGTCGACGCGACGAGGGACGTGTCCGAGCTGAGGTCGCCGCAGAGGTACTCGAATTTGTGAGTATGGTCGGTTGAGCGCTTCGGCAGAGTAGGAAGGGGTGGAGGCGACGGTGGCGGCGCCGGCGGTGGTGGCGAGCACGAGACATCGCCTGTCTCGAGGCGGTCCTGCTCGGCGAGGTACGACCAGTCCTTAAGCCACAGATTGCCGGCGCCAAAGGCACCCTTGTACGAGACGGGCGCGAAGAAGGACGACGGCGGGTCGTCGACGCCCGTCCAGCCAGAGCCGCCGCAGGTGGGGCGCGGGTCGAGACGGCCGGAGCCGCCGCCGCCGCAGCCGTCCTCGTAGAAGCAGCCGTAGATGCCCGGGTCGGCGTACACTGCCTGCCACCCCTCGTCGGGGCAGCCCCTGTCGAAGGCGAAGGGCGGGTTGGCGCCGGCCACGACGTTGTTCTTGGAGAAGAAGAGGTAGCCCGAGTCTGGGGTGCCGACCTGGCCGATCGAGACGGACGGCGCGGGGAGGTCCTGGGTGCGCGTCTCCGAGCCGCAGTCGCGGACCTCGACGCCCGTGTGCTGCCCGCCCGCGTTGGCCAGAATGACGTTCCCGAACTTGCCGCCCGTGCCCTCGCGGAGGCGCATGATGGCGTTCGAGTCTCGTGCGGAGCGGGTGCCGCCGCCGATGATGGTCATCGAGTAGAAGGCGGGGTGCGAGCGGGGCTGCGAGTTGAGGTTGCCGCCCGTCTTCGAGTCGATCTCGGTGCCGTGGTTGCCGTCGACGCCGACCATGGCGAAGAGGAACTGGCCGCTGCCCTGGTACCCCTCGTCGACGTCGAACGCGTCGTCGCCCACAAACAGGGCCGAGAGCCACTTGACGTTGACGGTGCCGCCGAAGAACTCGAAGCCGTCGTCGAGGTTGAGGGCGACCTCGCAGTGCTCGACGGTCGTGCCCGAGCCGACGCCGCCAAAGGTGATGCCGTTGATCTCATTGTCGGCGCCGATGATGGCGCCGCCGTGCCACACGCGCACGTACTTGAGCGAGCCCGAGCTGTCGCCCGGGTCGGACCCGCCGTACGGCCTGCCCGAGATGCCCTCGATGAAGTTGGAGGCGTAGCTGCCGGCGGAGGTGGGCGCGCGGCCGAGCAGGACGAGGCCGCCGCTGCCTAGAGCGGGCAGGACC